TCTAGTGTGTATCGCAAACTAGCTGACGATTGCCAGTTGCTATACTTGCCTCGCATCCATGTCGAAGACAGCAAGGATCTCTCGGTTCAGATTTGTGAAACGAGTTGCTTCATGAGAGATTCTCTACTTCAGACGAACAAACAAAACTAAAACAAATCTGCCATGCAGAGATTCTGAAATCTGAAGCTACTTTATCCTCTTCTGTACAGTAATACAGTAAATGAGCCATATAATAATATAATCATAGCCAACCATTAACCAGGCAGTAATTGTTGATATTTTGCCATCTCTGGCAAGCTTACTGTAAAGTACAATGCCAGGGTAACGTTCGACAGATCCACATATCTGTTGGCTCATTACATGTATAGGGAGGATGATGGCAAATTTCTCACTGTAATGCTAACCACCGTTAATACCATCTACTAGCGACAACCAATCGCCATATGTAATAAGATTCTGCCTATTTACAGTAAGGGAAATTCTTACCTATGAAAGACTGGTGAACACTGATGTTGATGACGGGGGCATATTTCTCCTCTTCTCCGGTAGTGTACATGCCGGCGAGAGTCTGAATATTGTCGACACACGGCGCCACAGCTCTACTCTGAGAGTCAGGCAAACTCGGCACGTTGGAACTGTCATCGAATGAAGAACGGCCGTTCAGCATGTGCATCGAGTCATTCAAACGAGAGCCTGGAATCACTTAACGGCATGAAAAAGTATGAAACGTCAATGTTATCTGTCTGTACCGACAAGGAGCATTCTCTTCATCTTTGGGTCATACAGATTCGGCGCAGCACGTGCCTCGCTACCATCTCGATACAGTACGGCTGCGTTTGAGCAGTACGGCTCCTTTTCCCAGTCTTGAAAGGAAGCATCTTGAAGGACAAAATAGAAACAGAGATAAGCAATTTGACATCTTATATCACTCCATATTCATGACAGAAAAATTATAACACCCATTGAAGGAAGACGAAGGTGGTTTGGAATAAACTGCTAAGAGTGATTTGATGTCTCTATTGGTTTACATCGAATGTACTTATGACCTCGAAAGCAATTCAACAAGTCATTTTCTAAAAGTAAGCAGAAAAGGTTGGTGAAAGTATGATTGCTTATTAATTTGCTATTTTGCAAGAGTTCTCCCATTCATAATTCCTCATAATTCAGAATTTTGCCATTCAAGAAATAAGTTAAATTTGGCATGAAATCATGGTCATATCAGTATTTTCTGAAAATCCAGAATTTGCTCATTGACAATTACGATCATTAAGGAGGTAAAAGCAAATGAAAAAATAATCAAGGTCAGGAAAAAGTAACCAGCTTAAATCCATGCGGCTATAAAACGTGACGTGTAAATTTTGACGGCGTCTGAAACTGACCTGAAGTTGAAAAATTGTCTGTTCGGAAATGATTGAATAGTTTCGTTCGCTTCTTCATTTTACCTCGTATTGACATAATCAGTTCAGGTTAGTTTGTTAGAAAGGAAGTTGAGAAAAACTCAGGACAATGATTAATCAGAAGTCAGCAACTTTTTTAATGACACAGGTAAAGGATCATTTTTACCAGCCCTCCCAGCTGATAAAATCTACTTTTTGATATCATATTTTTGATTTTTGATATTAGCTTCATATCAGCACAGTTCGCTTTTATTTTACTATTTAGTCTATAGTCCAGCGAACATAAAAAGGCCAGGGACAACAGAAAACTGGCTAGTGAATTTCCTTCTGTGCCGTAGCATTATATGTAGATGAAAAACATTGTTTGCTATGAAAATAGTTTTTCAATAGTTTCACAGTTCATCATCCACTTAGACAGCTCTTCAGGACAATAAGCGGAAGATTGCAGAGTGCAATATCTAGTGAAGTATGTCTTCTCGTAATAAAAATACAACTTTATGAGAAGTAATTGTTCAGCATTGATATCAGCTAAGCGTGTTGAAGAATAAAGAGTTGGGTAACGCCTTGGTGACCTATTTTAATGAAATCACATTCACACCAGGCTGCATGTTATACGGTAGGAGCAAGATATTCATTCGACCATCTTGCTGTAACCCTCTACCTCATGAGATAGCTTGTACCACTCTATCTTTTTTGCACAATCTGACAGATCATACATTTTTAGCAATTTATTGAGATATCCAAATCAAAGGAAAAGTACCATTCGTTGGACAAGCTTGCCACAAACCTTGGCGGTGTTTTCAAACGTTCATATCAACAACTGAACAGCAATGTCTTGCCTGAACCTGCCAGCTGAGGCTTTTGTTTCACAGAAGCATGCGTAAGGTTTGCGGGAACATGGGGTAAGCTGTTACACAGAATCAGTTCGGAAGTAAAAAAGCGAAATTCCGATTGCTAGACTGCATGTCTTCTTCAAAATTTGCTTCTTCAGAAGAATCACCTTTGCAAGTTCCAAAGCTGAGGCAGTAGGCCTGCAAGTGCGTTCGTTCTATTGGAGCTTACCACTTTGACAGCTACCTCCTGTGCTTTGCAAGTGACATTATCTCCAGTGAAGGGATTGTTACTGGGAAATCTATTTCACATAAGAAAATAATTTTGAATGTACAAAAATTGACAGATTGTCGTGAACCTTAGCCAAGGATAATCACATATAGCCAAAGGCAACTGATACTCTATCAGAGAATAGCAATACGAGATAAACAAATAGCACAAGCTCTTCCTTGGTCATGTTTAAGCCAAAGAAATATATTTAGATTTATGACAAATCATTAATTTTAGACAAGACTGAAATTCTTCGAATTTTGTCAAAAATGCATAACGGAAAAACATTTGAAAGCGGCACAATGTTTTGGAAAAATTCAAAGATAAAGCTGCAGCGTTCGTTAATTCATCGATCAGACAGCCGTGCATGAAGTAAATTTTTAAAGTATTAATCCCTTGTCGCAATTTTTCTGGTATGTCTATATTTGCATTTAATTTTCTGCATTATTCCTCTTCTACTTCCATCATTCAACTTCAGACTCCTCTATTTATTCATAATCGGTTTTATCAATTAAAGGTCACGCAGTAAGTGTATACTTTACAACGTTTGGAGATTAAAGACAGTCGAAAAGAAAACCTGTTTCCAGGTTGTTGAAAAGTTTTGCCAACTGAAAAAGCTGCTGTCAAATCAGGTGTTAAGTGCGTCGTTTGTTGTTTAAGCCGCAAGTCTTACGCAAAGCAAGCATTTTCGAGCTGTCATTTAAGACACCACAATGTGTATCCAAGACACAGACGACAAGTTTGTAGTCTCCTTCAAATCTAGCAAAATATTCGAAACCAATGTCTGGCAAGAGCAGACAGCTGTTAACCAAGATCTATGCCAACAATTTCATTCAACCAATCACATATTACAGAAGGCAATGACAAGTAGGTGCTAAGTGCTTCTGCCCGCTTCGACGATGCAAATTGGCGCAACGTCGATGGGGCATTATTTTGGCCCACTATTGACACGCAGGCAAAAACTCAAACTACTCATATGGCGATTCGAGTACTTCTTGCACAGGAAGCTGACCATCTGCTAATCTTCGCTGGTGCTTCACAAAATCTTGAGTAACTTTGCCGTGGCAAATCAAAAATTGCTGTGTTGATTTCATAGCATAGAAGTATCATGAAAGTTAGGATATATTGTCTGCCTAGAGTTATGTATTGATTTCCAAAACTCATAACTCCTCTTGGCCTTCAAAAATAGCAGCCTCATGAAAACGGTTGTCTAAGTAGTTTCAACAATGTAGTTCAGTCAGAAAAATCCTTGTGTTAACCTTTGATGTTCATGAGAATGAGAAATGACCAAAATAAGGGATTCTGTGCTAAAACGAAAAATGACAGATCATGTAGTCTTGACTGGCTACCGCCGAGGCTGGAACTTATCAAGAAGTCTAAAACGGTGGTGAATCAACACAGTCAAAACCAAATCTTCCTACTGATTTCTCTTAATCCATTTAGGAAAAGGATAATACGGTATCATCCAAATGAAAGAATCAAAATCAAGCGTCTGTATTTGTGAAATATGGAAAAGAATTGTACCCATTGAACAGAGGATAACGTTCACTTTGTCGTTTCTGACTTTTGTAATAGAAAAAGCTAAGTTTAACTATGTGAAGTATAACTTCAGAAACAGTGAATGCTAAAGGTGACTGTTTCTAGGTCGCTTAACGCTTACTGCAGTTCGACCTCTCAAAATCAGTTTTCAGAAAAAAAAGTTCTACATGACAGTGCATGAACTTAATATGAGGATGTTATTTTTCCTTCAGTCAACGAGGCAGTAAAATCCTCAATATTGTCACGGCGTTGTTTTCACCAGAACGCTGAAAAATATCACCTTTTTGCATTGTTTCCAAATGCTCCCAGAGTATGTCACCGACAAACGGCGGTGACCGATTCATGAACTCTTCTTTGGTGAGAGAGCAGAGCTCCCTGCCGCTCAGGGCAAAGTGTTCCACGACTACACCTTGCAGCGAAAATTCGCGGATCGCCCAATAAAGCCACTGTCGAACTTGATGAGGGCTCCAATGCAACGGGTCTGCAAAATAAGAAGCTCTAGCTGATACGGTAGAAGTAGCAGAATGCAGTTCATACTTTTAGATATGTTCAATCGGATGCGTTCAGCATCGAAACTGGCGTAGCTTGAACGCAGTGCCTGCGACAGTTTCTGATTAGTGACCGGAGTGAGAGGAGGAAGCTGCAAGGGCAAATCTGCAACATCAACAGTAATGCAATTCGTGATGAAAAGAGCCATCCCTTTGACATAGCACTGTAGCAGCTAAACAAATTCGGCAACGCACAATGCACAGACAACGTGAACCAGAACTTGAAAAAACTCCACATATTATCACTGCTGCACGTGACACAATAGGTATCAGAACTGAAGCGAGGCAGCGAAGACTGTAGAATAGAAAACGACCATAAATTTGAGCATCCGCACACTGTAGACATTCATATTCAGACTACAATTTGCATCTGAACTGCTTGGTCTATTCAGCCTAAGAGTGAAATGATGAGTCAAAGCAAAACAAAAATCCGTCTTCTTTGACGTCTCTCATCTCATAGGGCGGTTGTTGTAAGCAAGGCCACAAAGCTATGGTTGGTGGCTTCTGCAGTACAGTAAATTGTGATGAAAGTCAAGCGATCGACAGAAAATCTAATTTTACAGCAAACAGCAATGTATCCAGCGCCATTGCCAAATAGGCCAGGCAAAAACTTCTCTGAAACAAGCTGAGCCGTACCGCGCATGAGCAGATTTCCAACTTTCCGTAGCAGTATGTTTGCACATCGGTCAATCGATGTCACGCCAAAACGCCACAACATATCAGTTCAAGAGTCCGGTCCGATTCTGGTGTTCTTTGATGTAGATGAGCAAATTACATGAAGATCAGTTTGGCAACTCAAACGACGAGAGATTAGTGAGTATCAGCAAACTTGACAGGTCACAGTCAATTTCAGAAGTCGAGGTCTTCGTGACTTACATTGAAACTATGTTTTATGTTGGAGGTACATCGAAAGCGTATGAAGTAGACGCCGTTGAATATGGGCAGGTGATCGTCAAAGTTGAAAATCAGATTGATCATGCATTCGATCAAGTCATCAGGCGAACTCTGTGTAAAGATATTCTTCGCAATTTACAGTAGTAGTAGCTATCAGAAAGGAATTTTCTAAAAATAACTTCAACCTCTAATCCCTGTTGAGTCTGAATTCCAATATTTACGTCACAACGACATCTTCAGTCACAACTACTGTGGTAGAAAGCCTAGAAGTGGTGCTAGAGCCTGATCTGATAGGCTGAGGCGATGGTACTGATTGCCATTCTTCAATGACATTTTCCCGCAACCAAAACTCACAATTTCTCTTAATGCGTTGGATTGGATGAAGGTTAGGCAGTCACTGGCAGTAGCTCATCACTGTTGGCATCTGATTGCTATCAGCAGACGCATTTACCGACGACCACATCATGGAAACAAAGTTCAACACGGATTTCATTGGAATATGGGAGACCTGAAGTTCTACGAAATTTGATATATAATGGAACGACGGTAGCAATTGTTCCTTGAGAAGGTTGCCGAGAACTGAGCTTAGACCGCGATATTATATCACCCCATGTAGCAACTCTCCTAGTACAGATGGACAAAAAAGAACAGTAAAATAATCGAAATTTACAGCCTAATCCAACAAGTTAAATATTAAGTGATCGAAACATTCCACAAAAAATAATATAGTACACTCACTCGGGGGCTCAGTCTAAGCGAATGGCAAATAACTTGAAGAAGTAGCCAACGATGCCGACGTTGACTGTTAAGTGGCCGGCGGGCGAAGAAAGGCCTGTTGGATACAACCGCACAACCATCATGTTCTACAGTACCAGTTCCTGTTGAATGCTGGTCTGCTATTAAAACCGAGGAGATGAAACTGTTGGTCGCGTAAAAACAGCGATGGAGCGAAAAATGAGCAAGGTGACGTCGTCGACGTCGTGACGTCGTGTGGCTCATCTCAGTGACAAAGGTCGGTAGATGTCAGAAATCACAAACGCATTTGGTTGAACCACCAACGTCGAGGCAGTGTTTCAAGAACACGCATGGATGATCCGATCGTAAAATAACTTGGTCAGCGGTTGAGTATGGTGGAAAAGCGGTCGACTTGGGTTCTTGGCGCACCCATAACGAAGACAAGTAGAATAACAGATCATGAGGCACTGACTATTAAAAGAACAGCTGATTTAGGCACTAAATTTTAGAACAATCTGGATCGAAGAATTTAACAGCGTTCGTTAGGCATTCAGTAACCGCTCGCCTTCTGCGAAAATCTTGACAACAAGACAAATATCTGTACAAGTAGGGAGAAAACGATGCAGGTAAAAGCTGTGCAAAATAATTAAAACAATAATCGGTTGAATTTCATAGCATGAACTTGTTCAAAAGTGTACTCAGCCCATTTTCACGCATAGTTGAAGCATCGATTTCAAAAGAAACAAACCTAACCATGGAAGAAATTCTTGCAGCTACGCCGTCTGTGCTAATATTTTGCATCGTCGAACATCATATGGAATACTGAAATATCAGTACTCGAGAGCAAAAAGCACATATTGGAAGCTCTAAACTGCGTATGGAGCAAAATAATAATCTGTTATGTTTCATTTAATTATCACATTCACTATTTTGCTTTTCGATGGAAAAGAGAAATTGCGATTGCGCCAAAAAATTCATCTCAAAATGACAGAATTTAAGTGAACTTAAGCGTCTGAAGACTGCACTACAGATTTGTTACATAAACAGCAGCTCCTTGATTCATACGTCGATCTCCACAACGGTGTTTAATTCGAAAACATAAACGCCATTGGCAACAACAACGAAAAAGCCAGAATAATCCACAGATGAACATAGGTGAGCGGTAGCGAGAAACAAAGTGCTCATTCTAACATTTATACTCAAAGTTTTTCTTAAAGTGTTCTCTTTTTTGTAGAAAAAACCTGAGGATTTATAAAAGAACCTGACTCTAACATTGTGATAATTATGCTGATAATTTGACACGAGGCAAACCGGTGAGAAACAAAGATTAAATGACATTTTTCGATTGAAAATGAAATAAAGAAAAATCGAGAATCAACGACTTCATGATTAGTGGAGCAAAGAAATTTTAAGAGGTCACCAGAAATTGAAATATGTAGTATTTCATGTCATACAATGACACAACAAGTTTTAACAATTAAGAAGAAGCTGTAATGAATTCCTATGCATATCATCAATGATGTAAATCTCTACAGCAAAGGAATAAGTAGGTAGTAGCCTCTTATAGATAGAGAAAATATAGAAGAACTTTGGAAGAAGAAATAAATAGACTACGTATGGCATTTCAAAGAATATATACAATAATTAGCAACAGGCTAAATTTCACTATGGCATTTGATTAATTTGAGTAACTGACAGTAAATCCAAGTCTGCATTCCGTTAAAGTTTGCAACTGCCATTATAGCAGTGACATAATACTATAGAGCCGGCAGTAATAATACGATACCTTTAGGTCCCTGGCAATAACGAAATGCTGTCTGTCACTGCTTTTGCAGAATGGACGGACAAAACTGGATAATTTTGTAAGAAACTGGGAACAGTAAATGGAAAGTAGAAAGAGATTTCACTGTGTGAGACCATAGATGAAGATGCATGGGAAACTATTTTTCATGGTTCTTAAAAAATTCTATATCATCGATGTATATATTTAAAATTTAAGCTTCTCATAACTTCTCATAACGTGGATTTTTAATGACAATCAGTCGACAATATTTCAACCGACTAGCGCAGTCTTCGACAGTTCGAACAGTGGTCAGTGAAATTCAAAATGCGGAATAGCCATGGGAAGTTTGGACATAAATACAAGCATATTTTGCACGGTATTAAAAAAGTGATATTGCAGCATCTGCTGATAACACTAGGGCATATAAATAGACGTAGCAAAAGACCAATTTAAAAAGGTAAGCGCTTCAACAGCCACTAGTCAGACCAGCACTACTGAGCATAAGCATACCTGACCATAAATGAAATTGACCAAAGATCACTCATCGTTTTTGCATTGCATTTTTAAGTTTACACCAAAACTGACGTCATTAGATTGACTTTCACTTTGCATCTTTGCGAGCGGCGAAAGTCAAGCCAGAAGTCGCGACGGGAAATTTTTGCAACTGATGTTCCCAGCAGATGAAATCATTGTGAAAGAAAGAGACGACACGTCAGTACATACCTGCTAGATGATGACATGATGATTTGCCCCCAAAATTTCTCAGTGTCAAGTTATAAACGGAGAACCGTGGAGTTGCTACCAAACCAAAAGCGAGTGAAAAATCAACTGAATCTTGATACACAGGCCGCAAAAGAGGCGGAGATCGAAGACACGCAGGGACGATAACAGCAGCTACAGTCTCCCAACAGCGGCATACTGTAGATGAAGAAGCACTGAAGCGACGGACGAGGAAGAGGAGCGAACAACTTCGAGAAACCAGTGACTGGTCGAAGAAGACAAATCGCAGGTGTGACGCTTGTTTTCTGAAACATGTGGCGACCTTGACTGAGAGAGGGGTACACAATGGAAGACTGCTGTTAGGATCACAACGCTCGTTTGTTTGACATTGGCCGACCGCAAGTGACGTCATATGCGAGAAAGTTGATTAAGCACGGCAGTGGGAGACCGCAACTGCTGCAAAAAGGAAAAAGTACATAAATTAGCCTTCCGTCACTGTCTGTTTCATTTGAACAATCCACTGTGTGCTTACTTACGGTAAGTCAGCTGATTAGATAGGCGGAACAATGCTATCAGAAAGTATTGTCGTTTCTGGTCTGTTGATTAGAAGACGAAAGGAGAGGAGAACGAGGGAGAGGAAAATTCACGAGACAACGACAATCGACCGAACGAACCGCAATGACGACCGGAAGTGCCCTTGGCCTCGACGAAGCAACGCATATCGCGGCGCTGAAGGTCACAGAATACAAGGCATGAATGAACGGAAAAGTTGGCAAGACGGAATGAATAACGACAGCGTTGTGTAGCCTGGTCGATAGGCCATTCACAGACAGGGTTTTACTAGGTCGCAGCGGGCGTAGTCAATGACCAGCCAATAGAAGGACGATGGATGGTGGCCACACGCGTGCCTGGCCGCCAACAAAGCCGCGCAGGAAGCCCTAATTGTCGCTTAATTTGCATGAGCGGGGAAATGAAGTGCGCGCCGACCCGTGGGAACTCATTTGCCTCCTTCAGACACCTCGATCGGCGATCAGTGCCTGAGCAATGGCCGACGACTGGAAAGCAAAAGCGCCGCCGAAGCTCGTTTCCTCAAATGCCATTTCGAAATTGCCTTCTACCAACGCCCTAAGAGAACACTTGGCGGCGGTGGCCGTGAAAGCGTGCACATCACATATCAATCATAACAATCATGAGAACTCAATTATAGCCATTTCTCTATAGATATTGACCGCATTGCTTGCAATGCGATCAACCGTTGGGAACATCGCTTTCATACACTGAGTTTACTTTCGTACCCTATCCATTTCCCACAGCGACGAAAAGTTTCGTTTGGCCATCTTTGCTGTTGGCGAAATGTGCAGTCATTAAAAAGGTGCTTCCCGTGCTCCCATTTGCAAATGCAAAAATAAACGAAAATCTCTGTTACGTTCATGCTAAGTTATGCTTTCAAAGACAAAGTTCACGTAGATAATCTGTACATATGTCATTTTGTGATGTAGAATCGTTTCACAACTCGAAACTAAAAATGTTTTGCAATTAATCATCCTAGCATATTTGAGCTCCATTCCTAAATTTTCAAGTAGTCC